TATGTATATATATATATATGCGTGCATAGCGTACCTTATTGTGAGAAAAGAATGAGGCGTTAGTGACTTTAGTGACATTGGCAAAATTAGTGGGGATACTCAACGCAGAGAAAAGATTGTGCTGCGTACCCACGTTGTCCAAGGCGGCTTATCCGCGCCACGGTGTGGATCCAAAAAGACAGGAAGGCGAAGAAACAGCTTGAGCCGAAGAAACAGAGGAAGACGTAAGGCCACCAGAACATGCACAGCAAAACCATACAAGAAGTTCAAGAAGACATTTACCACACCCGAACCTCAATGCTAGATTTTTCGTGGCAAGGGTTCAGAATTGGTACCCACATGAAGCAACCCACACTCGAAAACTTCAACGGTAGCCGAAGCCAAGACATGAAGCACTCCGAATAAGAAACCGCCCGCAGATCAAATTGCACATTCCCACAGATCAGAAAAGCCTCGAGAACCCAGGAGAAAACCTGAAGCGATTCTGCAAGATCCTTGACATTGGAACCACCCTTCCTCGGCCAGTCGCAGAGAGGACTAGCCCCGTGGAGGTTGCCAACTCATCGGCGCACCTTGCCAGCTGAGTTTTTGGGACTCAGGTTCAGAATCGGGCAGGCTGAGCCAGGCAGTCTTCCAAGGAATTGGGGGCTGCAGGGCTTTGGGGTAGCGTGTCCGATGCGTAGTCCCATGTGCAGGCTCTGCTTCGTCACGCTTGGTTCCAGACGGCAGCCTCGAGACATAGACCAGAGATCGGTCTCGTTGGGGGCGCGTGCGGGGAAGCCGGGTGCTCGTTCGGGAAAGATTCGAGAAGCCCGTGCTCCTTCCCTTTAAGGCAAGGCTTCAGCAGAGGAGCGCCAAGGTCCCGCCAGGCGGCAGCTCCGGGAGGACCTGCTCAAGCACCGCCCGAAAAAGAGAACCCGAGCGCTCGAAATCGTCTCTCCATCGTCTCAGCCTCGCTATCAGTTGCGCCGAGCACTGTGGGTGTTGGGCCCGTCTCTTCCATGACCTGCCGGCTGGGAGTTCTACTTAGGCATGCCATAGCAAACACACAGTCGGTAAAGGACAGGATATGACAGGATCATATGCCAACTAGTTGGGCCATTATGGAGGACTCACCTCACCGGCATCAAAACGAAGTTCAGGCCTGCGACCTGGCTGCGCACTGTGCGGGTGATGTCCTAAATCTTCTGCTCCCAAGCCTGTCTGTGCAATCGCACTTATTCTGATCTTCTTCTTGGTATTTGAGTCCCATCCCCTTAACCACAATAGGCTCCCTCGGCTTGTTGGACTGACGGTCGAGCTTCGACGGGTGATACGTGCAGTGGCAGAATGGCTTTGCCAGTCCGTGGTCCGAAGACACAGGGTAGAAGATTTACCGCTGCTTTAAAGGCCCGCTCATGTCAACTTCTCGATGCCCCTTTGATCTGTCACTGCCCTTTACACCTCCAAGGAAGCCAAGGGCGGTGTGACGGCCTGTTGCCAGAATGTCCTGTCCACCAGCTGGCCTCTCTTTGCCTCCCAAACGCAGAGCTGTCCCCTTGGGAAGGCAAGCATGCAAAGAATCGCACCCGTAAAGCAGCCGTCCACCTCAGCTTGGCCAAGCTTTGCTTGCCATGTCTTTGCCAATACGGAAAGGAGGCACAAAGCCAAAAGGGCTAAAAGCACCGCCTCAACGCGAAGCAACATCAACTCATCTTGCTGTAAGACGTGGGCATAGCTGCGCATCCTCCACACTGAAGCCAACAATAGGAAGAGCACTGACAGCCAAAAAGGCATCACGACCACTGCTTTGCCTGGTGCCGGGCAGTCACCTTCGCAGACTGCAAAAGCAATCGTCGAAACGAACAGCCCAATGCCCAAAGAGAGCCAAAGGACAGAGTTGTCCCTGAAGAGGGCACCCTGACAAACAGCCAGCAAGGCGATCATGCTGAAGAGCACCGCGCAGCTAGTTGTGGACTGCGGCTGCCCTTGCTGGACCGACATCAGGTACGCACAGAAGCTGTGCTCTGCACAAATGGCCAACACTACAAAGGTCAGCCCAGGAATAGTTAACACGATCTCAGGAAGTATCTCTGTCAAGATGCTGGGATGGTTGTTGAGACGCGGGGTGCGCTCTGCGAGGCAGCGCTTTATATACGGGCATGATGCACACCAGGAGAATGTCAGCAGGAGAAGGCAGAACGCGTTTCCGATCCAAACCGGAAGGAATATCAGCCACCAGTTTGCATGGCCTGCCTCGATGGTCTCCAAAGAGGCTGCAATGGACACGACCAAGAGGCCATGTGCCAAAAGAAAGAGAAGGCGGGCTGACAAGCAGCACAGGTGGGTCCGAAGTGCGCTCACATCCTCGGTCGATGCGAAGCGCAGCTCCCTTGTGGATGGGAGAGTGTCGTCGAAGCAGAGTGCTGCAGACCGTGACATGGCGGCCTGCGTTACTCTTCCAAAGATCTTCAACCTATCTAAGTTACCCTCGCGACAAAGTATGGAATTCAAGTCACCCTCGCGAAAACTTACCGGTTGCATACGACATGCTAGTCACTTGAGGTAGATGCTATCAAGACGAAATCCGGGTTCAGCTGAGCCAGTTAGGCCGTGTTGTATCCATATCGCCTCAATGTCATCTCAAGGTGCTACATGCCAGAGTCGCGTTTGGGGAGGCCACTGAAATCTGCATCAGAGCACTCTGCCTCACTAATCCGTACTGCCCCATGCAGCACTGAAGCTTGCGCAGCCTGTCTCCACAAAACCATGACAGGCGGATTGAAACGCATGCCCAAGTTAGTTGAATTGCAGTCCCTTTTGCACCCTCTGCCCTAAAATCTTCGTAAACCTCGAACGACAAGTCTCGAAGACCGGAAGTCCCAAGTCTGGAAGCTGAGCCAGAGTTTCTTTCCCAGACGGATCTGGGCCTGTGGAGCCTCACGCCACATGACGCCACATGCCGCCAGTCTTCTGGCCGCCCGGAGCTATACAACGCCCAAGCCCGCCTTGCATCAAACCTGACATATCCCAACAACCACCACCTGCACCTGGCGACCGAACCTGCTCGCAGCCCCGATATCTGGAGCCGAAAGACTTCAATTTCCGAACTTGCGTCAGGCAGGGTGTTGGCAGTTGGTAGCAGAGGGCCGCAGCGCCCTTTTGGAGCAGGCTTCGCCATTCCCGCTTGTGGGGAATGCTGAAAGTCTTGAGGTTTGCAGTTGCCCCACCAGGCTCTCAGCTCCCGTTGGCCACCTCGCAGAAATCACCTTGACCTGCCCAATCTGTCCAAGACATTCACGACCAATGCCGTGTCGTCGACTCCGCGCGGAGTCATTCAGGCACCTTCGAATAGTCCAGGTCGTCCTTGCAGCCTGCGACCGTCGTCGGAGCCGGTGGTTCTGCCGTCGGATGCAGCAAAGACGCGCGCTTTTCCCGCGTGTGACGGGAAGTGCCTTCAAGCTTCGTGCGCCAAAGTCGCAACTCATTCAGCCTTCATTGGGAAACCAGTTCACGGGGTTCAGCAAACCTCGGCCAACTTCGAGACCGGGGCATGAAAGTCTCTACATCCGGGTGGCAGAACATAATGCTACCTGCGCCCAAGGCCGAACAAGCAGCTGTGCGAAGAGCCACACACCAGCAAGCAGGTAAGTGAAGCAGTCACGTTGTTCGCGATGTAGTTCAGCGTCCTCTGTGCACAAGATTTTGGATCTGAGAATGAACCACTCCCTCCGTGTCTGTCAGTCTGTCTGTCTGTCTGTCCGCCTGCCTCTATGTCTGTCCTTGTGTCCGTCTGTCTGTGTGTGTGTGTGTCTCTCTGTCTTGCTTGCTTGCTTGCTTGAGAGCTAGGGAAGGCTAGGCCTCCCCCCATGCGGAGAGGCTCTCTGTCTCTCTCTCTCTCTCTGCCGCTGCGTCTGTCGGCGTCTCTGCGTGCCGTTGTGTCTGTGCGTCTGTGCGCCTCTGTGTCTCTGTATCTCACTGTGTGTAACAGTGTATGTAGCAGGGCCGTGCTTATCATGTCTAAAAGGCATCGCTATACAAACTATCTCTTGGTCTACCAGTATACCAACTCTCGGAAATCGGACATGCTGAAACCTTGCGTGTATCAAGCATAGACTCATCACGAAGGGGCAGATGGGGGCGATGGATCTCAAGACCAACGTCTACACCCAGGACCAAATTGGGCTGGAGGCTGGCCCCATGTACGCTGCAGTGCTAAGCCCAGCGGCAGTGTGAAGTTCGGCGCGATGGTCAAGGATAGCGGCCCAGAAACACCTACCTGGACAAGAAGCTTGGTTCGACCGGTCATGCTCCTCAATGCATGGAAAGTACTACAGGCGTTCACAACATTCTGGACTAGACTGCACACCGCACGAATCTGGAAATGGCTCGCGACGACGATCCTCATCATCGGCAGAACCGTTGTCATCATCAGCAGATATCAGTAGCAGCAGGATCATCTTTTCGCAGTCATGACGATGGACACGACTACCATATGCATGGTTGGAAGCACCCTGACAAAATGCAGACACTTTTGGGCAAGACCCTCTGTATAAGAACCTTAGTCCCTGCCCCAGCCCGGATTCACAAAAAACATGGGCCTCGTACATCAGACTTTGGGGTGACCTTCCTTGACAGGTTTGTACTTTGGGGTGGTTCGGTTGTTGCCTTGCTTGCGGGGTGCTGCGGTTCTTGTTGTGCGGGCTGGCGACAGCAGCTTGAGATTGCTAAGTGCAAGGTCGCTAGCCCCTACACTGACCTTGCAAGCTCAATGGTTTAGTGATGGTGGGTGGTCTTAGTATCAGTAGCGAAGGGGTCCTCAATGTAGCTGCAGGCTCAACCTACCGTGGCATTGTCGTCATATCGTTCTAGTACCGTCTTGCATCGTGGTCGCCGCATCGTCTCTGCGCCGCCTTTACATCTCTGGGTCGTTGCCGTTTCGTCGCCACACAGACGTCACACCATGCGGCCGAGGGCATGGGATAGTTTGCCATCTGCTGGGTTGCCCCTATCAAGGTATACAGTTGGACTCTTGATAAGACTCTTGGCCAATCGCCTCAAGGTACCCTACCTGGACAGATATGCAAATCACCACCATGCCCTCGCCGGTTGGAGCTCTTCTACAGCCTTTTCACTGCATGGAGACTCTAACTAATTTCAGCGACTTTCATGGCGCTAATGACCCAGCATCTGTTGGGCCGAGGCACAACGACGGCTCCGTCGACAGCATCCTCGATGAGGCGGGCGATAAGCAGTGGGTCCTTGAGATCCGCATCCAGAGTGCCTCAGGATAAGTTTGAGTGCGGCACAAGCGAAAGGCTGCAAAGGACCTAGCGTCAAGACGTCGAAACCCCCCGAAGGACCAAAGCATTCTAGAACTGTCGCACTGCCAGGCTCGGTGTCTCTCTACACTCCCAAGCATCGACACCGTACCGTGAGGCCAAGGCACTTAAGGAGAGCTTCAGCGCGGAGATGGCACTCGGCTGCAACACTTGCCCTCCGAGACCTTGCGGAAGCGTCGAATTTATGCTCGGATCATGTTCATGGCTCTTTTCAAACCTTGCCTGAATCTTGGTCGCCTTTCAAGCGAAAGATCTGCTCTCCTTCCCGGGGCATGGTGGGTCTGCGGTCCGGACGCTTTTGTAGCACTCTACAACTACAGAAAGTGCCGAGCTGTCTTTCGACGCGCACACTCGCTCAAGGCAGGCGTCTCTCGAGATCTCAGACTCCTTCCACGGTGTTCTCCCGCACGGAGAGGTCAGTTCCACCAATTTCAATCTTCTGAGGCAGCCTGAGGAGTCAACAGGCCCGGCAATCACAAGCCTGCTTCATCAGCAGCCGCTCGCAGCCCTCGCATCGTGATCACAAGCTTCAGTGGCCGAGCAGCGGGTTGGCGACCTCTGCTGTCACCTGCTGGAGCAAAGGAGTGCTAAGCGACGGAGCTTCTGGGCATGATGACACTTGGGGGTGGCAGAAGACCCGAAACTAATCCCTGAGCTCGCCAGTTTCCGGCATTCATAAACACCAGAAGTTCGGGTAAAACAACGCAGATACCTGCTTGTTAAGAAGCCTTCGCTTCTCAACCGGAAGAATCGGCCCCGCGGATAAATACATCATGACGATCTGACCTGGTAATGTGTGTGTGTGTGTGTGTGTGTGTGTGTGTGTGTGTGTGTGGGTGCGTGCGTGCGTGCGTGCGTGCGTGCGTGCGTGCGTGCGCGCGTGCGCGTGCGCGTGCGCGTGCGCG